CTATAAACCTGTTAAAGAGATTTGGAACAAATTGAGAAAAATTCATAAAGGTAGTGAGAATGTTAGAGAACAGAAAAAATCTATCTTGATTACTAAATATGAGTCGTTTAAGATGGAATCTCATGAAGATATTGATAAAATATATTGTAAATTCAATGATCTTATTAAGGATTTACAGGTTTTGGAAAAGGAATACTCCTTTGGAGAGAAAAACAAAAAAATTTTGAATGTCTTGTCTAAAGATTGAGAGAGTAAAGTGACTGCTATTGAAGAGGCAAAAGATTTGAATTCAATATCTATTGAATCTCTTATACTCTCTAACATCTTATGAGTTCAAACTTAAGACCAAAGTACAAGAAGAAAAAGATGTAAAAACAAAAAGGAGCATTGCTCTAAAAGTATCTCAAAATGAAAATAACTCAGTTTCATTGGCTGATGATGATATGGATGACAATGATCTTGCTCTCATCACAAAAAGTTTCAAGAGAATTCTCAACAAAAGGAGATTCAAAAGAGGAGGATCTAGCAATTCAGATTCTAATAAATTCAACAATGCAAGAAACAAAGAAAAACATGAGTCCAACAAAAAGTAAGGTGACAAATGCTATGAATGCGGCCAACTTGGACACTACATGAGTGAGTGTCCAATGAAGAAGAAGAAAGAAGGGAAAACTGAAAGAAAATCAAGATTCAACAATTTTCAATTCACATCGAATGAGTGCAACTCCGATGGTGAAATTGAAGAGAAAAAAGAATCTGCTCAATTGGTTTTAATGGCTATTGGAGATGATAAGATAATAACTTGTAACCCTCAACTTGATAGTGATGATGAAACTGATGATGATTTTGAATCTTTAGTTGAAAAATTGCATGATAGATTGAAAGAATCTTATACTAGAAACAAGGAATTAAAATAAAAAATTATTTTTCTTCTTCAAGACAATGCACATCTTTTTCAGAAAATTAAAAAGTTAAAAACTGAAAATAATTACTTGAAAATGGGTGAGATTGATCTACAAAATGAGTTTGATAGAAAAACAAGACTTTATGAAATGTTCAAAAAGAAACAAAGTGATTTGAAAAGAAGAATGGATAATTTAAATGAATTGCTCCAATATAAAAAATAAGACTATTTTTAAAGGAATGAATAAAAAGCTCATCTTAGCACTCATGAGAAGAAGTTAAATTCTGGTGCAAATGAATTTACTAGTTATAAGAGAAGACAAATAAGATTTATTAAACCTGTTAATATAAATAATTCTTTGGTTATGTGTAATTTTTATTATAAAAAAGGTCACATGAAAGGTGATTGCTATTGAGGAAGAACATGAGAAGAGGCATGAAATGCATGTGGATAGTTAGACGTGATGCTAACTCTCAAGAACCCAAAAATTAAAGGGTACCAAATATTAATTCTTGAACTCTTGAGTAGGTGAATCTGGTGAACATCATTAAGGAATCAAAGTGGTTCGTAGACAATGGATACTCAAGACACATAACCGTTTAAGTTCAAATCAAAATCAAGTGGCAAAATGACATTTGGAGATGATATGAAAGTTAAAACAATTGGAGTAGGAGATGTTGGCAAGAATGGTGATACTTTTGTTTATAATGCTCTTTTGGTTGATAATTTGAGTTATAACTTGCTAAGTGTTAGTCAATTATGTGATAGAAATTTGTTTGTTTTATACAAAAAGCATGAGTGTTTAGTTCTTGATTCAAAATTTAATATCATTTTCAAAGGAAAAAGATTCAATGATATCTATGTTGTGATTCTTGAAAATATTAATCCCTCCAACTTTCAATGTCTTAAAGTTTCAAATGAAAATCCTTGATTGTGACATAAAAGGTTTTATCATTTCAATATGAATTTGTTAAAAGAAATTTTCAAAAAGGATCTTGTTAGAGATTTGTCAAAAATTAAGTTTGAAAAAGATAAAATTTGTGATGCTTGTCAATTTGGAAAACAAATCAAAATCTCTTTTAAACCTAAAAAATTGTGCTTCTACTTCAAAATCATTAGAGATTTTACATCTTAATTTGTTCGGCCCTACACAAATTGCTGGATTGGGTAGTAAGAGATATTGTCTAGTCATTATTGATGATTACTCTAGATACAGTTGGGTGATTTTTCTTACTCATAAAAATGATACTTTCAAAAATTTTATTTTCCTACTTGTAAAAGTTCAAAATCTACTTAATTTGAATATTGGTATCTTTTGCTTTCAAAAATTCTTAACTAATTGGATGTTCTCTTTTGGTGTTATTTTTCTGTTATTGACTGATGATGGTTGCAGCTGTTATTATTTTTTTAGACAATTACTCTCTAATTTTATGATGACAAAAAGGGGGAGAATAATGATGATCTAATAATATTCTGATGATCTTAATGGTTTTGGCATTTTGACTGAGTAAGGGATGCAATATGTAAGGGGGAGCTATTCTGATGTAAGGGAAGTTATTTTGGATGTTTTAGATTTTGATGTTTTACCTAAGTAAGGGATGCAATGTGCAAGGGGGAGATGCTATGAGATTGGTATTTTTTTTTGTCATCATCCATTATTTTGTCATCATCAAAAAGGGAGAGAATGATGATCTTGATCCCTATCTTTTGATATTTACAAAACAATTGGATATTACTAATCTCTTTTCAATAAAAAAGTCTTCTCAGTTTTGAAACAATTTGATTCAAAAAACAAAAGCAAATTGATAGAAGATAAAAGTTATCGAAAGCTGTCGGACGTCCACAAAGTCAATACCAGACGTCTAATAAACAAGGTAGATCATATCGGACGCAAAACATTCTCACCGGACGTCCGATAGAATTGAGATAATCTTTCAAACTCTCTGTCTGCTATCGGACACAAGCATCGGAAGTACCAGACGTCTGATAGAATCTTTCAAACTCTCTGTCTGCTATCGGATGCAAGCAACGGTAGTACTGGACGTCCGATACTCCCAACGGTTAGTTGACTCTTCAGCTACTTTCTATCCATTAGAAGCATTAATGAAACACTTTTTTGGTCTCATATAAATAGAGTATGTTCAGAAATTTCAAACAACTTTTACACACTGAAGATATAAAAGATATAGAATAATTTTAGTGTGAAAACACTCTTCAAACAAGATTTGTAGTTTTGGTGGTGTGAAATTCATTGTAAACTTTTTATTTGTGAGTGAATATTTTAATAGTATAACTTTGTGAGGATTTGTCTTGGGGGATAGTAAAACTTTCTAACTTGACCAAGTGGAGTTTAGGGTAAGGAGGAAGTGAGCCTTCCTTTATACACAAGATTGGTTGTATTTCATCAATTTGAAGAAGCTTGTTTGAATTGATTTTCAAGTTCAAGAGGAGTTTGGTAGTCAATTGATTTGTAATTCCTTTCTTCTCATTTACTTATTGTTATATTGTGATCCTTAAATTGTTTATCTCTTCTACTTCTCTCAAGTGATATTGTTCATTCATTGATTGATTTGTTGTGTAATCACTTAGAAAAGAGAGTAAATTTTATATTGAGTAAAAAATACCCATAACTTGATTAGTTTTTTAATAAACTTAATTCACCCCCCCCCCCTTCTTAAGTTGTTTTCGGGCCTAACAGCCCTACTATCACTTTAAGGGTGCTAAGTGAGATTTTAAAAAGTTTAGATGAGTTAGGTGATATTTCAAGGGAAGTTTTTGAAATTATCCCTAAAAAATAACATGAATCTTCCACCTTTAGAATTCCAAGGCTTTTGTCACTATCATTAACAGAAAATTTTGGACCAAGATATCGTTTACAAGTCTGGTGATTCACGGCTTAAATTTGGATTGATAGTGAATCAAATTTTATAAATAGCCCAATTCCGCTCTGATGCACAGGCTAAAGCTTAGAAAAATTCCCTTTTTTAGTCAATTTCCTATTCTGCTTTTTAGTATCAAAACTTCTTTCCTTTTTCAAATCTATTATTATCATCATCATCATCATCATCATCTGAATTGATGCATTACAATGTAAATTGTGCCTCGCACAAATTGGGATGAGGCTCCCACAAAACCAGAGGGGAGGAAACTACAACTACACAAGAACTAACTACTTTACAACTAATTTGTGGGAATGAAAAAGTGTTGGGAAATTTAATAAGGTAGAAAAGTGATTGAAGCTGCAGAATGACCAAGTGTTGCTAAATTAAGACTGCATTGAAAGGGATGGAAGCCGCAGACTGAATTAATACTGCATTTAAAGCTACTGCATTGCAAGTTCCACTTGCAAAATCAATTTGTCTCAATTAATTGTGATGAAACAATTATTATTTGTTTAATTAAAGGGCCGGAAAATTGCAGTAGTTTCTTGGAACATCACTATAACGGACTTCAGAGCATAGTCTTACATATTCATTTACCACCATATTCATGCCTGCAGAGTTTCAAACTTTACATATCGTTTTGGTTTTTTTCTCTTTGTCAAAAATCATATTTGCATTTCATTAACTTGATATTACAAGATTTGATACATCAGAATTCCTTTCTCTGTAATCATTTTGTGCATTCTCATAGAGCTACATGGGAAAGCACTCTTTCCATTCAACATTTCTAGTTAGTTTGACCACAAACTTTGCTTATCTATGTGCACACTTGTTCCCTGCTCTATGGAAAAAGAGAGAGCACATTTTTCAAACAAACATCTCATGTTTGCAATGTCCTCAAGGATGATAGCTACTCTGACTTCTTTTTCATTTCCTTGTTTATCACATCCACCACCTCCTTGCAATCAGACTAGAACTCCACTTCTCTCCATTTGGCTTCTTGAGCCATTTGCATTCCCATTCGAATTGCTGCTACATCCTCCACCAGTGGCTCGCTTGTTTTTATCTCAGCTCTGGCCCATGCTTTCATCAGTTTCCCTTCTGAATTTCTAGCCACTGCTCCTATTCCACTCTTCTTCATATTTTTTTGAAAAAGCAGCATCTTAAAACTTTAACCATATAAATTTTAAAGCCTGAAATGAGAGTGATTCAGAATGGCAGAGACTGCAGTAGCTTATGTACTCAAAGAGCAGTCCTCCTTTCTCCTGCATCAGGGCACTAATTTGGGAGGAGAACTTCACAGAGAAGTCGAGTTTGTTAGAGATGAATTGGGAAGCTTGAGGGCTTTCCTCAGAGATGCCGAAGCTAAAGAATATGATGTTTTTGAGCTTCAAGAATGGATCAGGCAAGTGCGTGAAGTTGCTTATGACACAGAAGATGTTCTTGATGAATTCATACTGCGTTTTGCTCATCATCAAGCTAATGGCTTCCATGGCCGTGTTCAAAAAATCTATTACTCAATCAAGAATCTAAGGGCTCGCTGTAGGATTTCTTCCGAGATGAAAAATCTCAAGTCCAGAGTAATTGATATTTCTGAAAGACACAAGAGATATCAGCCCATATATGGTAATCAGGGAACCTGCTCTAGTTCCGCTGCAGGCTCTAGTTCTACTCCTGCTGCAAATCTAGACAATGACATTCGTGAGATTTCAATCCTACTTGATGAAGATAAACTTCTCGGCATCAAAACACCCAAAGAAGAGCTCATTTCACGTGTCCTAAATAATGATTCCCACCTTAAAGTAATTGCTGTTGTGGGGATGGGAGGGCTCGGGAAGACCACCCTGGTGAGAAAAGTCTTCGAAGATACAGCTGTAAAAACGCAATTCAAGATCCGTGTTTGGTTAACTATTTCTCGAACTTTTGATATCATGGTGATTCTCAAGACCATGATTCATAAAATTTTTTATGAGATCAATGAACCAGTCCCTCATCAACTGATGAATTCTACAGATATCATAAGGTTGGGTGCATTTGTCAAAGACTTTCTCCAAGATCGAAGTTACATTCTTGTCCTTGATGATGTGTGGAGTGAACGTTTGTGGGATGCTCTTAAAAATGTATTGCCGGATGGCAATTTTCATGGTCAAGTTATATTGACCACACGGATAATTCATGTTGCCAAAGCAGCTCGTTTTGGATCACATAACTATATCCACTGGATGAAGCCTCTTTCTGTAAAGGATTCCTGGACACTTTTCTGCCACACAACATTTCAAAGCGATCACTGTCCCCCACATCTACAGCAAGTTTCAGCAAGAATATTGAGGAAATGTGAGGGCCTGCCCCTTGCAATTGCCACTATTGGTGGGGTATTAGCTCTCAAATATAAGGACAGAATAAATGATTGGGAAACGATTCTTCGTAACCTTGGTGATGAACTTGATGCTAGTGCTAAACTTGATCCAATCAAAAGGATACTCCTCCTTAGTTACAATGACTTGCCCCAGAATCTCAAAAACTGTTTCTTGTATCTAAGCATTTATCCTGAAGACGCCTTAATAGGTGTGGATGATATGCTTGACAAATGGATTACACAAGGATTTGTGGAAGAGAAAGAAGGAATGTCAACTTTTGATATCGCTAATCGGGGCTTCCATGAACTTGTCAACAGAAGCTTAGTTCAAGTGCAAACAGCATATTGTGATGGAATAAATTGCTGTCGAGTTCATGATTTTTTGCGTGACATGATTGTTTCCAAAGGCAGGGAGCAGAATTTCATAACTATAGCCGTAGGAAATTACAGCGGGCAAAGCTCTAATAAAGTTCGACGGCTAGCACTATATGATTTTGATAATCCAGAACCCCAGGAGCGGGAACCACTGCTTTAAGAGTCTTCGGTCTCTGGAATTCTTAAGGTACAATGGCCGTATATCAGGACCGGTAGTATCCAAGTTTTTATGTGGTGGTTCTAAGTTGCTAAAGGTGTTGGATTTATCGGAGGCACCATTGGAAGATATCCCAAAGGAAGTTTTCAAATTATTCCTTCTCAAATGTCTGTGTCTTCGAAGAACAAAAGTTCGGATCATCCCCAAATCTATTGGGAAGCTTCAGAAACTTGAAATTTTAGATCTATTTTACACCAATGTAACAAAGATACCAGTGGAAATTCTGAAGCTGAGGAAACTTCATGTCCTTTATGTAGGTCGAATAGAAATATCTGCAGAATATCACGGTCTACGTGGCTTTAAATCCCCAGATAAAATTGGAAAGCTTCTTTCCTTGGAGAATTTGCAGGCTATAGAGGCAGATAATGAGAAAATTTTGAGAGAAATAGGGAAGCTAACGAAATTGAGATCGTTAAGCATTACAAAGCTAAGAAAAGAAGATGGCAAGGAGTTCCTTTGCTCTCTGGAGAAGCTCACCAATCTTAAAACATTGGTTGTCCAGTCAATTGAAGATGATATGACCCTTGATCTACGGCATCCCATTTCTCCAACGCCTCGACTTCTCGAAATTCTTTCGTTGCAGGGGCACATAGGGAATATACTACAATGGGTATTATCTCTCCAAAGCTTAACCAATTTGGTTTTGGACAACAGTGGATTAAGGGAGGATGATGGAACAAAAGGGATAGGATCCCTTCAAGATTTACCCAATCTGATAGAACTTACCCTCCAACATGCTTATGAAGGTGAGATGCTACTTTTTAGGGCAGGAGGATTTCGAAAGCTCGAGAAATTGTCCATTACAAGTTTAGAAAGGTTGAAATGGCTGAAGGTGGAAAATGACTCCCTGCCTAGTCTCCAAAGGCTAAGCATGACAGACTGTAAACTACTAGAGGAGTTGCCTTTGAGCGCTGAAAACTTGAGGAAGCTGGAATCCCTTTTTTTGGTGGATATGTCTGATGGATTGGTAGAGAAAGTGATGAATTTGGCTGAACAAAGCGAGCTGTATCAAGCTCTAAAGAACATCCCTATAGTTCGCATATCTCGCCTTAAATGTATGGAAAATAGCAGAGTGCGAACCTTTGTCCCATAGGCCACAGTTCCCTCATATTGACTGCTGCCTGATGGCTTACTCCTCGCTTCTTTGTTTAATTGTTGTATTCTTTGTGCCTTCTTTTCAGTTATTCCAAATTGTTTTTGGCTGGATTCAATCAGCATGTGTCGAGGTTGAACTTGTATATTGGTTGAGAGTCTCAACTTGAGACTGTCACGGTTTAATGGCAATGGGGGCAGTTACAGTTAGTATTAGATACAATTGGTGCGGTTGTTATATTTCATGATTTAGTGTACACTTATATAACTTTTTGTTGTACATTATAAAATACAATAAATTATCTAAATGTACTCCAAATTATTAAAAAAATAAAACTATCGTACCAACTGCACCTCTTGCTAACCGTACTCGTCCCAAACCCGTTTAACAAAGTAATATGACATATATAGCAATGTCCATACAATACAAAAGCCATGAATTTTGGTACCTTCATGTAGAAATATGTTGCAGTGGTTCTATTTTGAAGTTGTGCAACCTTTGTTTAATGTTTCTTTTTCAAAGAAATCTACCGTGAATTCATACCTTTGTTTGTTATTTGCTTTCTATAACATAATAAGACTTGATTGTTCTGGACTTTGCCATAATTTTCTATCCAAGCCTCCAAGCTTAATTAATAATCCTAGCAAGATAGAAACCTCTTTTTTTTTTTTTGCTGGATTTTTTTCCTTGAGGGCTTTCCCCATGTCTCTCAAAAGTCGACTCCAGATCTATTAGGGAACGAGATTCCTACATATCGTTTTCAGGAAAGCAAATGAAAAGATAAATGACTGACTAAAATTAAAACTAATAAAATGTTTTTTTTTTTTTACTTTTTTAAGTGTTTTTTTTTTAAATAATACTACTATCCTACGTTCTTTTCTTTTAGTTTTTAAAAATAATTATTTTTTATTTTGAAAATCTAAAATAATAAGTAATTAAAACTAATGTCCTTTCTTTTTAATAGTATTCTTTAATAAGATCTTATTGAAAACTCTAAGTTATATTCTTTTCATATTTATCATGATAATTCTCACATGAAGTAATACTATAATTTAAAGGGCAAATTACACTTTACCCCCCTGTGGTTTAATTTTTTGTACATAACCCCTATATAGTTTTAAAAACTATACAAAACCCCTTTATGGTTTGAATTAAAGTGTCAAAGTGACGGAATTTGCAATCAGTGACGGAGTCACCTAAAATATCAAAAATACTCCTATGTAAAATTGAAAATTATTTATTAACCACATGGGGGTTATGTGTATATTTTGAAAATCATAAGGGGTTATATGGTAAAATATTAAATTATAAAGAGCTTATATAGTAAAACATAAAACCATACGGGGTTAGTATGTCATGTATATTATGTTTATATATTTTGGTCACTTTACCATTTTAATTTTTAAACAAAGGTAATTTCAATTTCTTTATAGGTTCCATTACGAGTGATCATTTCCGTCACTTTGACACTTTAATCCAAACCATGAGGAGATTATTTATAACTTTTGAAACCATAGAGGGTTATATACAAAAAAATACTAAACCATAGGGGGGTAAAGTGTAATTTGCCCTAATTTAAAATCCTTTAATAAACAAAAATCAGTCCCTGCATTTGCTATGTATACATTTTCAATCAAGTTATCGTGTATACATAACGCGGTTCTCCAATAAACATTTTCGGGTTACATTTTCAATCAAGTTGATTTTTCGGGTTACCTCCTACAAACTTACCAATAAAATCAGGGATAACACGGCCATCACAAAACCTCCCGAGGGATATTTGAAGAAAGATTCTCCGTACGGTGGAAAGTTGGTCCACTTGTGTTGATGTAGTTGTTATTTCCAGGATCAATGAGTGAATCACCTAAGAGGGCAGCAATGGTTTTTCGATGATGGTCAACATGATGGAAACAATACAATGGGGTTGTTAGACTTGCAAAGGACAACTAATACTACAATTAAGCATGAGTTGGATACACGAATTAGCCAGGTTAAAGCTTAATTCTATATTCTTTCGTCATCTTCATGGTACAGTGCCTGTATTTTTTCTTTTTCTAAGTACAAGTTGGATTGAAGTTTTATGTTGGTTTTATATGAGGATTATTTTCTTCGGGTAACTTACTAATAATCCCCATGTGGTTTCATCTATTACCACATAATCCTTCTTACGTTTCAAAATATTCATCACCCCCTATGATTTAATGTAAACTAGAAATTTAACGAAAAATATTCTATGGATTGTCATTAATTGAAATACTAGTGGTGCCCTTATTTAAATGGTAAATCAAATGATGATTTATCCGCCTTATATAAAGCCAAAGAGGGATTACATGGATAAATATAAAAATTACAGGTGGTAAAGTGGATATTTATGTAAACCATAAAGGAGTTAAGTGAATATTATGATTTCATAATACGCACTTTTAAAGCACGGGTGGTTTAATCACTATAAATAATTATGCATTCCGTCCATTTTTCACATTATATAAAACTACAGGGGGTTATATAGTTATTTTGAAACCTTAGGGGATCATCTATGATTATGTAAAACTTTAGGGGGTTATATGTAATTTATTGTTTATTGATACAAAGAATAAATTTCATCGACTAAATTTACACTAATGAAAGAAAATGCATCAAATCATATATGACACAGATGCATACACATTCGAAAATCAAAAGATACACAGGCATTTCAATAGTGCTAAGAAGTTTAAGCCAAGATTTTTGTAATGTGTTCTAGTTTTCTTGTTCGCTTGTTTACTAAGAAAGTATCAATTCAAGCAAAGTAGCAAATGTATCTAAATATTGATTTAGTCTGCTACTTGTAGAAGAAAATTGAGGTTCAAATCTGGCGTCAATTTTCAAACTCAATGTCGGTCCCTCTACTTGAAAACAACAGTCAATAAGCTATATATTAGGTCTTCTTCTCTATTTTGCCACGGAAAATGATTTCCATTGATGTTAAAATGTCTCCTTTGAATAAAGGTGAAGCTAATGGACAATATGGAGCTGCTATGTATGGGGAATTGGATATGGAAACAAAAATGCTTCTGGACATCGTATCAGTAGCATTTGGTTTCATCAAAGCAAATTAAGGGCTATATTGCACTTTTTTGTTATGCTTGTTTTCGGATATTTGGACCATGGATCATATTAAAGATTTTTTTAGAAAAGTATGATAGTTAGCATAACCAGGAAGCGTGGTCAGCTAATCAATAGAGAGAATTGATGTTCCCTTTTTCTTTTCTATGTGGAAAAGAAGCATAACATTAGATGTCAGTTTCATTGTTCAAAGGAATAGTGTATATTTCCACAGGTAGAATTGATAGTGGACGGAGACTTGGCATGAAAAAACAAAACGGTCAATGTTGTGTAGCATTTGGCTTCCATAGGTAGCATGACCCGCCTTTCGAATTCCAGGGCTCTTGTCACTATTATTAACAGAAAATTTTTGACCGAACAGCCCCTTATGGCAAGTCAGGGAGTTTAGGATAGAAAAGAAAAGCAGAAAAAGGAATGGAAGAGAATTTGATGTTGTTTAAAAGTTTTAGAAGGAAGTAGAATGATTTTGGATATATACATATATCAATAAAATTTTATTCAATAGTTTTGCGAGAATAAAGTGGACAAATTGAAAAAGTTTTGCAAACTTCCCTCAGTTGTCCTTTGCTTTCCGCCCGTTTTCAGTCGGAAAAATTTTACAAGGTAGCAGCACTTGGAATTCTTCAAAATCCATTCGTTTCTTTTCTTTTTGGGTTTCACTTGAGAGTCCCAAACATAAAAGAGCACAACTTTCTCTTCGTTTCTGCTGAAACCTCAACTCCCAAACGCGCCATATCTGGAGTAGATCAGGTTACAATGAAATCTGAAAAAGTGATTTGAGATTATGAGGCCAAGTGATATTGGAGGGTCCAGCCCACATGAGCTCCGCCAATTGCTGGTTGGCCGCTTGAGTTGGATGATTGGAGTCAAAGAAGAAATAATCTTGTGGATTGTCACATAGCTCGTATTCTTTGAATCCTCCCCTCCCTCCGCAGCTGCGAGCTCCTCGAAAAGGACCATTGCCGCAGCATGCACCCTTAACTTCTTTAAAACCTTTTTATTCAATTAAAACAAAGTGCAAAAATGGAAACTCATTGTTAGTTACTCCACCATGCAATGCTAGTTTGCTAGAAAAGTTTAGCACTGCTATGGTTAGCGGATTCGAGATTTCTAGGGTTGTCAAATTTAATTGCACCCTGTATAATATATGTACCAGCACAATAGATGCAGACAATATCACAATAAGTTTAAGCACTTAGACCCTATTTGATAACCCATTTCAACACTTAAATTTAATGGATTCAGATCTTAATATGTTCAGACCGTTTGATAACAAAAAATTAAATATATGAATTAATTAAGTTGCACTGAATTTCCTAAACAAAACTTACTCCTAAAATTAAGTGATGAGCTATTCACTTATCATTGAATGTGATATGCACTCAAATATATTAATTTAATACTTAACAATTCAATAACTTAATGGATTCAAATTTTAGTTTTCAGATTTCAGATTTTAAATTTCAGTTTTCAGATTTCAATTTTATCAAATGCACCCTTAAACAATAACATGAAAGATATATAATTACTCGGATAATTGCAAGATTACTCAATTAGTACGTATGTAATTTTTATAGTTGGAGTACGAATACTAACAAGAAATAAAGTTGATTGCATGTACCGTATTTTGATGGATTGTCGAACATTTCAACAGCAGTGGTGAAGATGTCAAAATATGAATATCTAAAGCCTTTGAGCTGCTTCTGCAGGTGCTTGAGTTTCTGGGAAAGCAAGACATTGTGTAACTTGGCCAAAGCTGTAATCTGTCCATTGCACTCTCCAGTCCCCCCAGCAGCCAAATCGGCAGCTCTAAAGAGTGGCAAACATCCTATAGGTGGCATATTTACAACTCCAAATTTTCTCCCACCTTTCTTGTATATTTCCTGTTATGCATG